TATTCAAGGTCCTTTGTAGTTTTAAGGTGCATGCACCCATTCATTCAACCAACTAATGAATAGATGAGGCAAAATAGAAGAGTAATTAACAGCATACACCTTGGACTAAGTTCAAATTCAGGGTGACTTCTAGCTCTGCTGCCTGCTGATTGTGTGACCTTAATCACATTGCTAAACTCTCTGAGCCTCATTCTCCACATCTGCACAATGGGGATGATATCAATATTTCGCTCAATTGGTGGCTGTGAAAATTAAGTGGGGCAATGCATATAAAAGGTTCTGTGCTGGGCACAGGGGTCAAGACGCTGTCCCTGTCCTCAGAGAGCTCTCAGTCTTTCTGCAAGAGGCAATGTAGAGAGATCAGGGTTGTGCATGAAAAAAGCCAAGGGGTAATGAGGAGCATTGGAGGCACTGCCAGTGGGGGTAGAACAGACGGCCCAGAAAAAGTGACTGCTGAGCCCCGCCAAGGAACACAGCAAATGCTATTCACGTGAATACTCAATTCAATACCAGTTCTATGAATATTAGTATTAAATAAAATGTTTCTGGTTATCGAATCTTCTGGAATGAAACACATATAAAATGTTGATTTTAAAACACGCAGTTTAAATTTTTTTCTTACTAGGAGGTCCTAGGACAGACTCTGTATCTGAGGATGTTGGAGACTGACGGCATTACCAGGGTGCACCAGAGAGTCTCTCCCATTGGTCAAGATGGCACGGAGGCAGGTTCTTTACTGAGCCCGCCAAAAGGTAGAAAGATGAATGGACAGAACCTCAGCGCAGCATAATCTATCATGGTAGTTGCCACTGGTGAAAAAGCTCTCCCTTCCCTATCCCTACGAGAACCACCGGGTTGAGCAGGAAGGGGAGGTTGTCCTTGAGAGGGGAGTCCAACCTTCTCCCAGGTCACACAGCATCTGAGTAAAACGTCTGCCCTTTTGCACCAGAACCTGCCTCTGGAGTGTGGCTTTTTCATAGTGGCAGGCAGCCGAACCCACTTGTTCGGTTACAATGGAAAGCACTTGAGAAGGTAGCCCGCCTCCTACACCCCGTTTACTAAAACTAAACAACAGCCCTAGCCGGGTCGCTCAGTTGGTTGGCGGGTCCACCTGTACATCCAGAAAGGTCTGGGGTTCGATTCCTGCTCGGGGCGCTTACAGGCAGACACAGATCGACGTTCCTCCTGCACATTGAGGTTTCTTTCTCTCTCTCACCGCCTCTCCCTCTCTCTCCCGTCTTCTCTCTCTAAAAAAAATAAATAAGCATATCTTCCGGTGAGGTATAAGAAAAACACTAAACAAGATATCTTTTAATTTTTTAAGTAAGTAAATACAATTAAATATATATCATAAAAAACGAAACAGCATAAGCATACCAGAGTAGGGCACAGGCTGAATCGAAAGGAAACATCTGAGCGTGCGCACAAATGAAACTACGGAACTTGGAGTGGCCAATTGCAGCTGCCGAAGGCAAGCTTGCTCCAAGCGGGAAAACCACTGTCTCCACCCATTTTGAAAAGACTTTCCAGGCTCCGGAGCCTGAACTGATAAGATCCCTCTCGGGCCTCAGTTTCCACTGTATTACCCCGACTTCCAATAGCGAGGTCCAGTTCATAAACTGTTAAGGTTAGTCGAAGGTCCCTGGGTGACTGAATTGCGCCATTACTTCTCGGCGCCGGTCGAGCCTTCACAACCGCTTCTCATCTGAGGTACGTTCTCTCTGAGGGTCAGACCCGGACAGCTTAAGGGGGGAGGGGCGTCATGGAGAAACACGGGAAGCCTCTGCAGATTACTCAAGCAGTTGGGTCTCTGCTGTGCCCCCCAATAACCCGAAAGATCATAGGACTGAGGGACCATTTAAAGTCTCTGGGGGAGATCCCTTTCGGGCGGAGGTAAAACTAAAACTATCGTCGTCTGTGAAACTCCCTAACTGCTCTTACTCAGGAAAGCCAAACCTCCTCAGCCTGAGAAACCCCAAAGTTCGCTATACGCCCCTAGATTTCTTCAACCAGAAATAGTAGCCTCACCCTAAGGGCCCCCTTTACTGCCTCCTCTGGGATAAAGCAACAATCATTTTCTGTTGTTGGGGGGGGCGGCGGGGCGGGTTCTAATTTTGCAATATTTTCTATTACAATTTACAATCATTATTTTATATTAGTTTTAGGTGTTCAGCACAGTGGTTAGACAGCGATATGCTTTACATAGTGTCCCCCCTAATATTTCCAGGACCCAACTGGCACCATACATAGTTATTACAATATTATTGACTATATTCCCTGTGCTGTACTTTACATTACATCCCTGTGACTATTTTGTAACTACCAATTTGTACTTCTTAATCCCTTCACTTTTTTCACACAGTCCCCCAAATACCTCCCCACTGGAAACCAGTAGTTCTCTGTGTCTGTCTGTTTCTATTTTCTTTGTTCATTTATTTTGTTCTTTACATTTCACATATTAGTGAAATCATTTGATACTTGTCTTTCTCTAGCCAATTTACTTCACTTAGCATAATGCCCTCTGGGTACATCCATGATGTCACAAATGGTAAGATTTCCTTATTTTTTGTGCCCAAATAATATTCCATAGCATATAGGTACCACTACTCTTTTATCCACTCATCTATTGATCAGCACTTGGATTAAAGCAACCATCTTCTTGGCCTCAGAAACCCGGAAATATCCTCTCCTTGAGAGATTCCCAGTTCCCTCACTTAGCGGAACACGAGATTGCTGTATTGAAACCCCTACATTCTCAGCCAGGGTGATGCCTGGTCCTGTAGTCTCAGATAGTCTAGCTCTCTTTACACTAATAATTTCCAAATAACCTAGAATTAGCCTTCAAGTCCACCCATATTAGCAGTCTTCATTTCTTTTTTTCTTTTTTATCCTCACCTGAGGATATTTTTTTCCCATTGCTTTTCAGAGAGAGTAGAAAGGAGAGAGAGAAACACCAATGTGAGAGAAACACATGGATTGGTTGCCTCCTGCACATGCCCTGACCGGTACTGGGGAATCGAGCCTGCAACCGAGGTATGTGCCCTTGGCCAGAATCGAACCTGGGACCCTTCAGTCCACAGGTTGATACTCTAGCCACTGAGCCAAACTGGGCTTGGCTTCATTTCTTTTCAACAAAGAAAAACCTCACATCCCTCTTCCTCAATATCTAAACTATATGATCTCTGAGACACCTCTCCGGGCCTTTTTTTTTTTTTTTTTTTTTCAAAACACTCCCTCAATAACACAGTACCCTCACTTTACTGCTTCCCCAACAAGGGTCTTCATATCTTTTGTTCCGGATAAGCCAAACTCCAGGCAAACTACTAACAACAGTAACTGAACCCCCTCAAAGACTCAAGGTTCCTTTGATCATGCCCACAGAAAGTCTGTCTTCCTGATCAATACCTCTCACAGAGACCTCCAGACCCTTTTCTCTTCTGACTACCCCATGTCCTCCCTTAGGAATGAATAAGCCAACTACTGACAAAAGTAGAATCTTTTTTTTTATTGCTATCACTATTACAGATGTTCCCATTCCCTCATTTGCCCCCCCTTCAACCAGCCTCCCCTTACTACATTTTTGTCTGTGTCAATGGGCTATACATATATGCATATATGTTCTTTGGCTAATCTCTTCCATTCCCTTCCATTCCCATTGCCTCTGATATCTGTCAGTCTGTTGCATATATCCATGCCTCTGGTCCTATTTTATTAATCAGTTTAGTTTGTTCATTAGATTCCACATATAAGTGAAATCATAAGGTATTTGTATTTTTCTGACTGGCTTATTTCACTTAGCGTAATAATCTCTAGGTCCACCCATGCTGTTGTAAAGGATAAGAGTTACTTCTTTTTTACAGCCCCACAGTATTCCATTATATAAATGTACCACATCTTTTTATTAATTTATATTTATTGTTGAAAGTATTACAGATGTCACTCTTTTCCCCCCCATTGGCCCCCTCCAACCTGCTCCACCCCACCCCCAGGCCTTCATCATATGGTTATCTGTGTCCATGATAGTACATCTTTTGTATCCACTCATCTACTGATGGGAACTTGGGCAGTTTCCAGACCTTGTCTATTGTAAATAATGATGCAATGAACATAAAGGTGAATATATTCTTTATGATTGGTGTTTCAGGATTCTTAGGATATATTCCCAGAAGTGGGATCACTGGGTCAAATGGCAGTTCCATTTTTAATTTTTTGAGGAAACTTTGTACTGTTTTCCATAGTGGCTGCACCAGTCTACATTCCCACCAGCTGTGCACTAGGGTTCCCATTTTCCACATCCTCTCCAGCACTTGTTGTTTGTTGATTTATTGATGGTAGCCATTCTGGCAGGTGTGAGGTGATACCTCTTGTAGCAAAAGAAGAATCTTAATTCCAGGTGACACTCTGAGTTTCTCCTTGCCTCAGGGCCTCTTCCCCAAGGACCTTTGGCTTTGTGACCACAGAGACTCAAGTTATGTCCCTTCAAGATCACACCACTCCCAGTTTCTTCAAATAATTAAAAATCATACTGCCATTTGACCCAGTGATCCCACTTCTAAGAATATATCCTAAGAAACCCAAAACACCAATCAGAAAGAATTTATGCACCCCTATGTTCACTGCAGCTCAGTTTACAATAGCTAAGATCTGGAAACAGCCCAAGTGCCCATCAGTAGACGAGTGGATAAAAAAACTGTGGGACATTTTAACCATGGGATATTATGCAGCTGTAAAAAAGAAGGCTCTTTTACCCTCTGGGACAGTATGCATGGAACTGGAGAGTATTATGCTAAGTGAAATAAGCCAGTCAGAGAAAGACAAATATCACATGATCTCACTCATATGTGGAATCTAATGAACAAAATAAACCGATGAACAAAATAGATCCAGGGACTGAGGGATCTCAGAGGGAAGGCGGGGGTGGGGGAATAGGTGTGGAGAGAAAATAAAATAAAATAAATTTGTTTGTTTTTTTAAAAGAAGATCACACTGCTCCCAGAGCCATGAACAAAGGCAGCTCCTTAGACAACAACCCCATGGAGGATTCCCAGAATTCAGAGGAAAAATGCAAGGTAAGGAGATTTGGAGGTGGAGGATCGAGAAGTCACCAAGGCACATTGTAGGGTTACTACATTTCTGAGGACCTGAGCACAGAGGCAGTGAGGTCAAGGAGCAGGGTGTCAGGGAGGAGATCCAGAGCCTCAGCAGCTTCCCACCCTCACTCAGAACTTGCCTAGCATCCCTGGAGACAACAAGGCCTATCACCTCACACGACATTTAGTGACTCTCAGTCCATTCTGGTAGGTGAGAGAAGAGCCCACCACCAGCATGAAGTTCCTGTTGCATGCAGCGAAGAGGCTAAAGAATGTTACCCTTGTTTTCTGACTTAGCTGTGACATCAACCAGGAGGAATTTTTAGCTCCTGTTTACGGGTCCAACACAGAAGTTCTGCAGCTAAGGAAGAGGGCAAGCTAAATGTCAAATATTTTTACCTGAGACACTGCTGGGATTTCTTCTTTTTTTCTAGGCCTTCAGGGATATTTGCAAATACTCCTCTGTGGAAGAGTGGGCAAAGCTGGGAAACTCAGAGAAAATAACCTATGTGTATGTGAAGAGAAACAGTGACACCATGACTGGTCTAGGTAACAGGAAGTTCTTGGTCCAGACAGGTCTGGGAACACAAGACCATCCCTCTTTCCCTTTACATATCATGGCTTCTTAGGCTCAGCAAAATTTACTCAATTTCATTTGTGTGGGGAGAAATCTGTAGGTAGCTTCAGAACCTTCTGCTCTATTGTATCCTGAACAGGGCTCAGGGCCAAGAGTGACCACAGAGATGCTCAGACCTGGTCACTCCCACTGGCCCTTATTCAAATCCCCCCCCTCGGTGACCTTTACTGTCCCTGCTGCCTCCCAGCATCCACTCTCCTCTCAGGTTGTCTCTTAAGCAACAGATGTTTTGCTTCTCCTAGGTCTCATGGCCAAACTCCCAGATTTCATGCGTCCTAAGAATCGGACCACAGAATCTCCTGAGCATGATTCTGATGAAGCTCGGAACCCCGGGAATCAGGGTGAGTGACAGGAAGGGCCTGGAAATTGTCCTGAATCCTAACTTCTTTGGGGGTCCAACTGCTCAGAAAAGATTTTCAGGGGTTTCTTGCCTAAATGGATCACTGCTGACTAAAGAAAGTTGGATGCAGAAGGTTAAGTACAGTCAGTAGCCATTCATATAAAATCCTAAAACAAGAACAATATATGTTTTTATAGATAATAAGTCAATGGTAAATGTATCAAAATCTGAAAGAGAAAGAAACTCATCAAATTCAGGATTTGAGAAGTGCAGGAGGGCCAGCAGGGATCCATGAGGGCTGCATGGATGGCGTCATCTGTGACTTGTTCAGAGGGTTTTGTTATATTTTGAATAAAGGATCTCAGGGCAATCCGAAGCAGATGTGCAATCATGCTGAGATCTGACTTGACCCAGGGGCAGATGTGCACATGTTTGTTTTCATAGTGTCCTCTGTAACTTTCTGGAGTTTGAAACATTTCTTTATTCAAAGGAGCTATTGTTCATGCTGAGCACCCTCATGAACCACAGGAAAACTAGGAAAAGTGTGATTAAAGTCTAAATCCTCCAAAAACATCCAGAGTCAATTTTAGAATATCAACTGGGTAGTTTAAGATAAACATCTTTTTTTAAGAATATATATATCTCTATTGATTTCAGAGAGAGGGGAGGAGAGGGAGAGAGAGAGGTAGAAACATCGGTGATGAGTCATTAATCGGCTGCCTCCTGCACGCCCCTGACTGGGGATCGAGCCTGCGACCCGGGTATGTGCCCTGACTGGGAATCGAACCCCGATCGCCTGGATCCGAGGTCGAACGCTCAACCGCTGAGCCACTCCCGGTCGGGCAGGATAAACATCTTAAGAGACTAAATGATTAAGGTATTGTGTGATGACATTCACCTGTTTTCCTGAGCTTTATCAAACACAATGGTCTTCTCACTCCTGACTGAACCTGATTCCTTGTATTGACTTTGAGAGAGCATTAGAGAGAACAATGCCACACGCACACTGAGCTTTCATAATTGTCAGCAGAGGCCACATGGGGTGAAAAAAGCCACAGATTCAAGAAATCTCAGCCCATGTCAGCACTGTGTTTACTCACTCTAAAGGGGACAGATGTGTTCACTTGCTCTTCTGCTCTGATAGCACAGCTGCAAAAATTCAGGGTCAGAATGCTCATACTGTCTCCAATAGACCTGTGACTCCCAGCTCCACAGGCCATATTCCACAAGCTCCCAAAATCAGGGGAGCTGAAAATCCAATGCTTAACTATCTGCAAAGTTTTTACATTCTAGGAGTGTTTTTATCCTGGAAACCTTGCAGAACCACTGCACTAAATCATCCCTGCTTCATCACACACTTAACAATTGCATTGAGGTATAATTGACACACTATAAAGGTCACCTGTTTTAAGTCTACAGTGATTTCTAGGTACCACCCATCTTTAAGTGGATACAGTTCAAGTTCCCAACAAATCATTTTAATTCTTTGTGAAAAAAGTAAGAAATATGTCATGGAATAGGATGAGGCAGTGATGGAGTTTAGTTCAAGTTTTATACACTATCCAAAAGAAATTTATGAATTAATCCTATGAATAAGTGTACAAGCCATAGTAAAAATAATTCAGAATCTCATCTGAAAATAACCCCTTGATGGTGAGTGGACTCATATCATCTGCTGCAGATTTTCCTGATGCTTCAGGAGTCTCTCTGGAGTTTGGGAAATTTTACCAATAAAGAACATTTCTGCTTGATTACCTTCTTTTAGATGAAAATCCTCAGGAGGCTTCCAATGAGCAACTGAGAAAACACCAGAAGGTGAGTACCTCCCAAACGTGAAGGATCACAGAACCTTAATCCCTCCATGGATGTGAATGTGGTAAGAGTGGGAGATTTCTGAAACTGGGCTGGTTCTCACTGCCTCCCTTTCTTGGTCTTATCACAATGCCTCATGTAGCATCAGTAGCTTAACAATCAACAATTTAGATAGCTGATATTTCTTTTGTCCTCATAGTGATGCTAGATATTATTTTACCTAATTTATTTAATTTTTACAAAAATTTTTAAGACTTTTTATTACCATTATAACCAAATAAAAATGATATAACTAATATTTTTACAAAGATGAGGGTACTGTGGTACAGACATGCTACATAATTTCTCTGAGACCACAGAGGCAATGACAGCAGTCTAGTCCAAAGCTCCACCACATTCTCAAAATCATAAACGTTTTCATATGTTTATGAAGTTCAGGTTGTCTCCACAGGGGTTTAGCCCAGCGGTGCTGCTGATCCTTCCATTTAGACACTCACTCTCACAACAGGGAGTACCAGGCCCCTCTGCCCTGTCACAGGGCCACTCTCCATGGCTGAGGAACCCCTTAGACTGTGAGCCCCTCACTACTGTGAGCTCCTTCAGGCCTTATCTGGACCTGAGGAAACTCTGAAGCCTCATTCCCAGCCCAGGGAGCCTCAGAGGTGCCTGAATGTTTATTGAATAAGTGATTCCACAGTTGCAGATTAAGCTGGTGGAGATGGTAAGGGTCCTAGGAGTTGGGTTGCCAGTGTGGAGACAGTTGAGAATTCAAAGAAGAATCACAAGAGATAGGATTCTTTTATTATTATTGCCGCATTTAAACAGTGTTTACAAGTTCAGAAAGTACTTTTACTTTACTTGTTTTATGTTTATTGTTCACTGTTTATTAAATAAAGGAGCCAAATAAAAGCCAACTTAAGATTGTTGATCATGAAACAACACACCCTGACAATGAGCAGAGTTGATGTGGGAACCATCTCTCTAATTCCACAATAAATGATGGTGCCAGAACAGGACAGCATGTCACATCTGGCACAGCTTTCTTAGTTGTCTCCATGAATTTCTGTGTACCATTCCTTTCCTCTCCCATCCTCAATTTTATCTCCACACAATTTTCCAGCAGTATTTTGTCCCCTTCATACACTTTTACATTTACTCTCCCAATAGGTGTCTACTCACTTATGTGCGGTCACCTATATTTGACAGAAGCCCTTCATTCCTTTCACAGACCTCATCAATTCTTTGAATACTATTGTTCTGAAAATCTACAATGTACCGTACTCCCGCTTACATGGAGACTTCCTGTGTTTGCCAAAGTGTCAGTCTGGAAAGAATGTGAAGATGAGTGTTTTAGTCCTCGAAATACCCTCATTTAGGCCATTCTTTTCTAACCTCCCAGGTTCCTCAAAATTGAGGTACTGGTCATGTTATGATCTCCCAAAGTTGTAGAGAACGTTAATATGGTAATGCAAGTGAGCTAAGATACAGTATACTGCAAACTCTAAAGCACTAGAGAAAAGCCAACGATACTATTTTTTGTGTGTGTGACCTTTATATTCACAAGGTGATGGCCAAGAATCTCTCAAGGGAAGAAAATGACTTGAAGCCACTACCAGTAATCCCTGACTCAGAGCTAGCTCAGAAACATCTGTGCCCCTCAGGAAATGCGAGTGTCTCTGGTCAGCAGATCGAGAAGTCAGCAGGTAAGGGGAAACCATCTGGGAACAACTCCTTTCACTCCCCTGGAGTGGGGGATGGCTCCTGGACAGACAGGCCTGGGTCAAGGCAAGACTTAGGAGCTAGATCAGCTCCGACTCAGACCTGAGACCATGACTTCCAGAGTCACAGAATGAATGTCATCTGCACAAAAACCCTCTTCTTTTGGGCAATTCATCCAAATTTTCTGAGCTGTGGAGTCCTAGTCAATAAAATGAAAATAATCATAGTTATTAAAATGTTTGAAGATATTGAGTGAAATCTACAAGTTTGACAACATGAAAAGTGCTCCAGTAATTCTATCTGTGATAATCTGGGAACACTATCTTACTCAGAATTGTGTACCCTGCCCTCAGTTGAGGCCTGACAAACAATATGCCCTTAACAATATATGCTAAAAGAAAGAAGGTCTAAATGAATGTCTGGTAAGTAAAGAGGTTGGGAATCTAACCATGGCAGTGGGAGGACCCAGAAGCTAAAATTTGAACTGGCATTAGGCGAGTAATTGTGCAGATCTAACATCTCAGCCTCTCTGAACCAGAAGATGTGAACATCAAAGCATTTAGAAGACCTGTGGGCACTTCGAGGGAGGAGGCCTTCCTTATCTAAAGAAACTGCGCCCAACATGCCCCCACACACCCAACTCCACTTACGAATATTCTCATCAACAGCACCCTGCACAGAGGAGACTGAAGTCTGCGCGAGAGAGCTTCAGGAAAACGAGTGCATTCTAGAGTATGAAGATATCAGTGACTCTGAAGAAGACAATCTCTGTAAGCCACCCTTCATTCCAGCCCTGCACCCTTGCAAAACCCACTCTTGAAATAATGCTGTTATCCCAAATTGTCACTCATTCCTCAAATCACTCCTTTCTTGGGACATAATGCAGCATTGAGACTAAATGATGAGGCTTCTCTCACTCTTTCTACTCCCTTCCTGTATAGCCAGGGATCATCCCAACCGTTAGTGTCCTGGGCTCCCAACCCCTGGTCAGCTCCCAAACTATAGGCCACACCTTCCTCTAGCCTAGGAACTTATAGAACAGGTAAGAGTCCTGTGGCATGAGCACAAGATTCGCTTTGAGGAACAGTGGGAGATGTGTGCAAATCATGAGGTAGGGACAATTGGAGTGTCCAGGGTCCTGCAGGTCAGGATGAGGGGTTAGGGATTAATGGATCAGGCAATGGAGCTCACTGACACTTATTTTCCTTCTCTCTCCTTGCCTCCACCTCAGGGATGTGACAAACACCCATGAAATGAAGCAGAACCTGGTGGCCCTTCATGAGCATGGGCAAGACAGTGAACTACTGGCCATCAGGTGTACAGCAAGTAAAAGAAAGAGATCACAACAGTGAAAAGTTCAGCATTATGTTTGCTAATGTGTGCCAAATATTCTGTTAGATGTTAGAATTTCATTGGTGAGTAAGGCCTATACCTAATGCATGTTTCTGTCTATGTATTCATACATTTGCCTCAGGAAACAAGCATTGTCAGGGATCTCTGCACAGAAGAGCACCACCCACCTGCTCCCCAGATGTGACTTCTAAGACATTCCAGGAGCTTGATTAGGATGCTTGTCTCTGTATTTCTACACCCCCACAAACACAAACAGGAAAAGGCACAGGCGCGCACGCGTACACACACACACACACACACACACACACACACACACACTAGCAGTTTCACTATGAGCATCTCCTACCTGCTCTTCTCCACTAACAGAGTCCTGGGCATGTCCCCTTCGTGCTGTTTCCTGTTCAGCAGTTGCTCGGTGTTGCAAACCCCCATTATTCATTTACCCTGCATCAGTCACTGTCAGTTAATAAACACAAGTTTTATCCCAGTTGTTTGCTCCTGTCCTTCTTTTGCACAAACCCTGTGCACATGTGTGAGTGATTCATTTGAAGACATACATAGAAGTGGAATTGCTGCATCAATGGTTCCATTCATTCAACAAACACCTAAGGGTCCTGTACTGGGTACTGAACACTATCCCTGGTGCTGAGACATCAGGGAACAAGACAAAAATGTCCTTGCCCATGTGAGCTTGACATTCTACTGGGGATATTTCCAGTTTTTACTTGATGGACTCTGTACACCACAATCGGGAGACAAGTTTCTGCAGGTGGTTGGATGCCTTGTCTTTACTGTCTGTCTGATCTCAGCGTCTGTGCCTGAGACAGTCCATAGTGCAGTGTGTGGGAGGATACAGGTGCTCTGGATTCTGCCCCAGATGTCAGGGTAGAAGATGTGAAGTCACTGTTCCAAGGCTGGGAACCTCCGAGGGGAACATGCAGAGGGAGAGAGGTAGAGTCCTGGTGATAGTGGGGACAGGAAAGGACACAGATGCACAGGGTGTGTGGAAGAGGGGCTGGCATAGAGGCAAGGGAGACCCAGGGCCCAGTGTGTGCTATCACAGCCACCAAAGGGAGAAGGAGCAAGGAAGGACCATGGGAGGGTTCAGCTCATCGAGGGCAGAGGTCCCCCAGAACTAGGAGCATACTCTGCATGGCGCAGCAGTGAGAGGGGAATGCTGCCCAGGTCAGTGAGGATGCTGCTCCACCTCTGCCTCAGCAGAAACAAATTCTCTTTTACCCTAATATAGCTCTGCATTCCTCAAACTTAATATTCTGCTAATAGGCATTGCATACATTTTTCTCCATGCAAGAACAGATGGGAATCCCCAAAATAGATCCTGAATAATTTCATTTTTCTTCCCCCCTTGGAAGATGGGACCCATATACTGGATGCCCAGCAAGGGAGACAGGTGCAGGAAAGGACGACTTGAAAACACTGTAGTCACTACAGGGAATCTTTTACCTTAGGTCCGTGGGGACATAATGCTTTCCACCTCCTCTTCCTCCATGAGACACATCTAGATTTTGAGATGCAGAGCGACTATGGCATTCCCAACCCTAGAAATCAGCTTGTACATGGCTCCAGGCACACCTACAATTACCCTTCTCCCCCTACCAATCCTGGCGCCCTGTGTGGCCCCCTGTGCTCTTCTGATGAGGGTCCTAAATGACTTTTTAAACCTTCCTGTCTCTTTTGCTTGTCTTTCAATCATTTTTAGACTGGGTTTGTAGCTAATCCCTACTCGTAGCAGAGAATTGGGAAATGCAGGGATGTGTGAGAAAGAACAGTACATGCTTCACAAGAGGAAACTTCTGAGCTTTATTCACCAAGACCCACATTAAGCAACACATTTTGCAGTGACTAAAACAAGTGCTCCAGGAAACCATGCTGACCCTTTGCACATGTGATACACTCTGATATTTTCTATTCTGTTCTGTGAGGTGGTATGTTATTCCATTGTAATTCATTAGAAATATGAAATTCTCCTCTGGTGAAATACATTTTATTGGCCTGTTCATGATCCACAACCTGCAGCTTGGAAAGCTCTTGTTCATGGTCCCAGAGCGTGTCCACCAGGAGATCCCCTGCCTTGAGTCCTATAGAGAAGGTTCAAGGAAGCCTCCTGATGCTTTCTGGATGCTGGGTACCCTGGGAAATAATGATTTTCTGTGTACTCGAGGCTGGACAGCCCCGTGTTCAAGCATCACAGAGCCCTGCTGATCCCACTGGAGGGAGCTCCCGGTCTGGCTGCCCAGCATGGGTGCCCATGATGGAACCTTCTCGTTCCAGTTGTCTATGTCTGGAGCAGCCTCTAGGTGGTGTCCCTGTTCACATGACTGTTTGGTTACTTGTTGGCCCTGCGAGAATGATCTCCAGCAGGGTGACCTGGAAGCAGAGCAGCAGCCTTACAGGTGAGCCAGAGCACCTGGCTAGAGATCCCTCCAGCACTATCCACCTGGAGAGGACATAACCAATGGTCCTTGCAAGCACCTTTGATCCCAGAGAGTTTCCTCAAATCCCAGAGAGCTCTCAAGGCTTCACAAACTTCACTATGCAGTCTCTCACTTGCTTGTTTTACAGAAGCCATTCACCTGACACAAAGATATCTCTCAGGAGGAATTGCTATAAATGGTGGGATATATTCAGTTTCTTTGTGAGAGGCAGCAAGGATGACATCCTCCTATACCACCTTGCTGAACAACCACTACCCAAGACAGTTTTCAAGACCACTATATCATTATAAGCATTACCATATTAATCTGAAAGTAACAGAGGCAGGAAACAATGCAGGAAGGCTGTCAGAGTCCCAAAATTCCACAGGCATGAAGAGGGCTAAGAAAACTAAAGTGCAAACATGTGACGAGCTTCAAGAGAAAAGAGTGACTCAGGGCAGAGCTGCAGGCCCACAGGGCAGAGCCTCGAGCCACAGATTATTGTCAGGACATGAAATGTAATAAAACTTGCCCCACTAGATTTCAACAGTGCATGGAAACAGTGACTCCTTCCCTTTATTTTCTTATTTAAAATTAAAATGTGGGGAGCATCATTAACTGAGTTTGTGGGGACTGGAGTCAGGTCACGCAGAATGAGTCGAGGTGGGTAGAGGCAGCAGATGCAGGGCATCTATTCTGCACCCTCATCCTGGCTTCTGGTCTCACATTCTTCCAGATCAGTGTAGACCCAGCCCAGTGCATCTGCCCATAGCCCTGATATCCATTCTTGTCCTCCAGGTGCACATATGGCCAGGTCCAAGAACCACACCACACACAACTAGTCCTGAATAAGGCACAAAAACATCAAGAAACCTCGATCACAAAAATACAAATCTCTTAAGGGGATAGACCCCAAGTTCCTAAGGAACATGGGCTTTGCCAAGAAGCACAACAAGAACCTGAAGTAGACGAAGGCCAACAATGCCAAGGACATGAGCATGTGTACCTAAGTTATCAAGGCCCTCATAAAGCCAAAGGATGTTAAGCCCAAGATCCCAAAGGATGGTAGCCACAAGCTCAGTCAGCTTGCCTACATCACTCACCCCAAGCTTGGGAACCATGCTTGTGCCCATATCACCAAGGGTCTCAGGCTTTGCCAGCCAAAGTCCAAGGCCAAGGCTCAAACCAAGCCCCAGGTTGTGGGTGTAGGTGCAGCCCAGCTGCAGCTCAGGTTCAGGCTCAGGCTCAGGCTCAGGCTCAGGCTCGGGCTCGGGCTCAGGCTCCCATACCCAAAGGTGCCCAGGCTCCAACGAAGGCTCCATAGTACAGGCCCCTGCCTACCGATGTGAGGATGGAAGGACAGGTGTCACCCCTGGGTTATTGTTGCCATGGAGCTGGTGTCCTCCTGTGATATATGTACAAACAAATCTGAGGCAAGATCTGTCAAAATAAATAAATAAAATGAGAATGTGTATACATATTGTCCTATAGTTATCCCTCCACTGTATTTTGGAGATAAATAACGTGTTTTCCTGTGCCCAAGTGCCAAAAGGAATTTTGACCAGGATGCATCATAGCCTGAACTCCATCCATATCTATTTTATGTGATGAAAGTGGGCAGTATTGAGCTGATGCTATTTAGATGAGATTTTGGAATTGAGTTGATACTGTAAAGGATTCAGCAATCTGGGAATTTGAGGATAAAGTGAATATATTTTGCATGTGGATTGGAGGTGAACCTTTGAGGACCAGAGGGCAGATCATACTAGAGTGAAACATGGCCCCCAAATGATAGCCCACATCCCAAATTTGGAAACTCATGACTGTTACTTTAAAACAACAACAAAAAAAGGAGGGTGGAGGTGAGCAATGGTTGGGGAGGAGGACTCCTGCAATAATATCAAAAAAGTTAATGGAAAATAATAAAAACAACAAAGAAGACTTTATACATATGGTTAAGTTACGGATCTTGAGATGGAAAGATTACACTGAATTATCTGTGTGGGCCCTAAATCTATCACAAATGTACTGAACAAAAGGAGAGAGAAAGAGATTTGACAGGGACAAAGGAATACAAGGTAATGGAACTATGGACACAGAGATTGGAATGATGCAGCCACATGGCAAGAAATGCTGGCAGCCCCCTGAGATGGAAGAGGCAAGAGTCAGTTTGTCTCCTGGGGCCTCTGCAAGGAGTGCAGCCCTGATCACACATGATTTCAGCTCAATAAAACTAATTTCACTCTCCTGGCTTCCAGAACTGGGAGGGAATAAATTTCTGTAAATTTGTGACAGCAACCATGGGATATTATGGGTGATTGTAGGAGATTATGTAGATTGTATTCAAGGTCCTTTGTAGTTTTAAGGTGCATGCACCCATTCATTCAACCAACTAATGAATAGATGAGGCAAAATAGAAGAGTAATTAACAGCATACACCTTGGACTAAGTTCAAATTCAGGGTGACTTCTAGCTCTGCTGCCTGCTGATTGTGTGACCTTAATCACATTGCTAAACTCTCTGAGCCTCATTCTCCACATCTGCACAATGGGGATGATATCAATATTTCGCTCAATTGGTGGCTGTGAAAATTAAGTGGGGCAATGCATATAAAAGGTTCTGTGCTGGGCACAGGGGTCAAGACGCTGTCCCTGTCCTCAGAGAGCTCTCAGTCTTTCTGCAAGAGGCAATGTAGAGAGATCAGGGTTGTGCATGAAAAAAGCCAAGGGGTAATGAGGAGCATTGGAGGCACTGCCAGTGGGGGTAGAACAGACGGCCCAGAAAAAGTGACTGCTGAGCCCCGCCAAGGAACACAGCAAATGCTATTCACGTGAATACTCAATTCAATACCAGTTCTATGAATATTAGTATTAAATAAAATGTTTCTGGTTATCGAATCTTCTGGAATGAAACACATATAAAATGTTGATTTTAAAACACGCAGTTTAAATTTTTTTCTTACTAGGAGGTCCTAGGACAGACTCTGTATCTGAGGATGTTGGAGACTGACGGCATTACCAGGGTGCACCAGAGAGTCTCTCCCATTGGTCAAGATGGCACGGAGGCAGGTTCTTTACTGAGCCCGCCAAAAGGTAGAAAGATGAATGGACAGAACCTCAGCGCAGCATAATCTATCATGGTAGTTGCCACTGGTGAAAAAGCTCTCCCTTCCCTATCCCTACGAGAACCACCGGGTTGAGCAGGAAGGGGAGGTTGTCCTTGAGAGGGGAGTCCAACCTTCTCCCAGGTCACACAGCATCTGAGTAAAACGTCTGCCCTTTTGCACCAGAACCTGCCTCTGGAGTGTGGCTTTTTCATAGTGGCAGGCAGCCGAACCCACTTGTTCGGTTACAATGGAAAGCACTTGAGAAGGTAGCCCGCCTCCTACACCCCGTTTACTAAAACTAAACAACAGCCCTAGCCGGGTCGCTCAGTTGGTTGGCGGGTCCACCTGTACATCCAGAAAGGTCTGGGGTTCGATTCCTGCTCGGGGCGCTTACAGGCAGACACAGATCGACGTTCCTCCTGCACATTGAGGTTTCTTTCTCTCTCTCACCGCCTCTCCCTCTCTCTCCCGTCTTCTCTCTCTAAAAAAAATAAATAAGCATATCTTCCGGTGAGGTATAAGAAAAACACTAAACAAGATATCTTTTAATTTTTTAAGTAAGTAAATACAATTAAATATATATCATAAAAAACGAAACAGCATAAGCATACCAGAGTAGGGCACAGGCTGAATCGAAAGGAAACATCTGAGCGTGCGCACAAATGAAACTACGGAACTTGGAGTGGCCAATTGCAGCTGCCGAAGGCAAGCTTGCTCCAAGCGGGAAAACCACTGTCTCCACCCATTTTGAAAAGACTTTCCAGGCTCCGGAGCCTGAACTGATAAGATCCCTCTCGGGCCTCAGTTTCCACTGTATTACCCCGACTTCCAATAGCGAGGTCCAGTTCATAAACTGTTAAGGTTAGTCGAAGGTCCCTGGGTGACTGAATTGCGCCATTACTTCTCGGCGCCGGTCGAGCCTTCACAACCGCTTCTCATCTGAGGTACGTTCTCTCTGAGGGTCAGACCCGGACAGCTTAAGGGGGGAGGGGCGTCATGGAGAAACACGGGAAGCCTCTGCAGATTACTCAAGCAGTTGGGTCTCTGCTGTGCCCCCCAATAACCCGAAAGATCATAGGACTGAGGGACCATTTAAAGTCTCTGGGG